CACACTAAAAGCTCAACTGAAAAATGGATTGGAGCGATCTAGAAATTGATAAAACCACTTAAAAACATTTTTTTTATGCTGAAGGAGGTGCACAATAATCATGTGCAACAATTGCAAAAGCTCTTGGGGAAAAAACCCAAACCTTGTAAGCATGGAGTCTAACATCATGAGCTTAAGCAAACTTTTGCCACAATCACAAAGATAGAGAACAAATCACAGACAGATTCGGGTACTTCTCACCTCATTTGCCCCAGTCACAGCACAGGAGTCCTTATTGATGAGGGCAATGTTTTCCTGTGTTGTGACAGAAACCTTAAAAGTTACAATGGATGTCAAATCACAGTGAACCATGGTAGCAATTTTGGCTAATGTCCCTGTACGGGGCAGCTAAATGCCAGATTGAAGAAGTGTATCTAGAAACCAAACCCCTGAATAATGCAACACTTTTGTTCAACATCAGTGTTTGGGGCACCCTGATAGCTAAATGGTGAAAACCTTTTCCACATAACTTCAATGTCCCCTTTGTATTGTGTTTTGAGCCTTATTACAGTTTCAATCATTCAAGGGAAAAGATGGCATCCGCATGCAGCAACTGCTTCTTTTGTTCACAAAGAGTTTGGCTCAGCTTTCAAGATGCCGGGCTGAAAAAGCTGGGGATTAGAGGGACTTTTCACACACCTGTTATGGTGGGATGATTACACCTTTACAGCACGATTCATCTACATGCAGTCTGATGACTTCAGCACATTTCCAGCAAAAGCTAACCCCCAGCATCGACCTCAGCAGATGTCTGATGGGTCGGACTGAAATGTTTGGGTGTGCAGAGTTTTGACACGTTTACTGTAAATCTGCAGCATCAAATCATGTGCCATCGACGGCCAATAGTCTTCAGTGTATGTGTCCAACAGTATTAGTATAAATATTATTTTCCCCATAAATACAAAATCAGACTAACACTGATAAATGATATACAAACAGAATGGTGCATCTGTACTGTGCACTTGACGTTTTGTTTTATACAGATCATACGGTATTGAGGCTTCCGCTGCTGAGATTGATGAAACAATGGTACATTCTTCTTGATCATTTGCTTTGAAGAACACAACAAATGTGCCGCTGACTGCAGAGAACAATTTTGGCACTTTGGCCTTCTGAGAACAAAAAGACAGAGAGAAAGCTTCAGAAAGATCCCAGAAGGCCACAGCCCCATTCACAAGTCACTTCTGAAGCATGCGTTCAATTCTGTTTGGTAATTTCATGCTTTTTGGTGCCAGAAATGCAATGAGGATAGCCTTTCAAATTCAAATAAAGGTGAAATCAACAAACCGAAACCCTTGGTGTTTCTTGGTTATTCATGCCAACCCCTTGAGTGTTGGCTGTTGCTCTCGTGTTTGACCTCAGTAAAGTGAAGTACCTGCTTTTGTATTGATAAGCTGTATTGATATACCTGAGCTGTCTGTTACACCGGAAAGTCAATCCTCATTGACGGCCACACAATAACAGCTCACACTCGATAAAGAAAAGACAGCTTTTGAACCCTGTGCTCCTGTAAAGCTGGCCTGAACTCCTACAGATTTTAAAATTGAATGGTTGATTATTACACAGGAATACTTTAAAACACTTTTCTGACTGTCTTTGTTTTCCCTTCTGAACCCTTCCCGCTCTTCATTTCTTTTTAATTACACATAACTGACGATACTTTTTACTATTGTATGCGTTTTTGTGCATGTTTTTTGTGGGGTTTTTTCGGTGTGTTATCTGAGACTGACATAAAGGAGAGTGAGTGATATAGAGCTAGAACTAGACGGTTTCTAGTGTGGTTGCTTTGCCCATCATTGGTTGTTGCTAGATGAGTACCTATAATATACAACAGATCACAAACAAATGAACATTTCACCTCAACTGTGGGGTAAGCAGCAACCTAAGAGAGGAGAGAATGGCAATTATGACGCAGCACATTATGTGAATCTGCTAAATCAGCATGTTTCTGAAAACATATCTATTCTATTAATAATAAGGGAATAAAGGCAAAACCAAGATAGCTAGAAGGAAAAATCTGCCAGCAGGACATTGATGAGGAAAATGTTCAGAAAGACCTTCTACTGCTGCTCAGCTGTCTTCCTCGGGACAATGATGTGAAATTTTCCATTTGCTGATTCAAGCCTTTCTTCTCTCACGGAAACACAGTGATAATGCCAAAGTGTTTGTGTGTTTGCGTTTTAAGTCTTAGAACTGTTTTTTGAAGTCGCTCTGTGATAATTACCTGGGTCGATCCTCTGCTTAAGTATTAACTGCTGGCACTTTCTTTGAAGCTCAAAAAAAAAACATGATTATATGTTAGATGCTTGATTTAATGCTACGTGTCTTCTCTTGCAATCAGCGTACATAGGGGAATTTTAACAAATGTAGCCCGCAGTATGCTGAGTCTCTCTCCAAGAAATCAACAACTTGAATATTTTCCGGCTGATCGCTTTTATTTCGAAAACAAAATATATAAACAGAACAGAGAGTTGCACAGGCATCTTTGGAACACATTTCGCATGATAGTGCAGTCTCTTATCAGTCGAAAAATAGACATTTGCAAACTTCACACCCTGATTCAAACACAATAGGAAACACATTCACAGACAACAAATGCAAAGTGTATTCTAAATAAAAAAAGATAGCATCAGTTTGTGTTCATATCTGTCCCATATAATACGCTTGATAACAACCAGTTTTGGTGGAAAACATCTGGATGCTCAAATTCTGTTGCATGGGAGGCATTGCTTCAGCCACAAAATGTGTTTGTTGCGCAAGTTTGTTGGCTGATCCAAACTGCCTGTTGAAAACTGCCTTTTGGTGGCCTGAAGTGTGCTGCTGACGCAATCCCCCCCCCCCCCCCCCACCACACACACACACACACACACACAAAACAAACACTTGTACAACAGCCTGCATCCCAACTGAATCGCTTAATCACGTGGACTCAAGGAGAGAAGGGGAAAACAGGCAATATGAGCACTACAAGCTATGGTGTAATTGGGACAGCACACTATCACACTCTGTTCATAGCCTTCTTGTACGCCGATCAGTTGAACATCATCAAAACGAGCTAAACCCAAACATGTTGAAATTAGCTCGTTTTGTATACAATATGAGCCTTGTTTCAAAAGGACAAGTATTGATCAAATTTATCCCAATTGGAGCATGCAGGCAGAGCAGATGGGGTGAATAAAAAACAGGCGAAAGATAGAAAAGATAGAAAACAGGCGAGTGGAGAAAAAAAATGTTTCTCCGTTTACTGGCCAGATATATAATGAAATCGATTTGGAAAGCCTTGAAATAAATTAAAAAATTCGAGGAAATCTGGCAATCAAGCGCTACTTCACCCCCCC